GAGAGGTGAGTCCGTCTCTTCCTGGTCACGGTGTTGCGTAGCCATGTTTTCAAGCGACGCAAGGTGGAGAAGGTCTGCTCTGATGAGGCCAGAGATGGGCAGGCACAGACGAGTATTTCATCACGTGTAGTGTCACCCCTGATGACAATTCCCTTGCTTCCCAGGAATATGATGGATCTGAACAGTAGTTCCAAAACGTGTCGTGCAGTTCCCTGCTGTTTGGCAGCAGCATCAGGCAAGAGGGCGTTGATCGGTACATTACATAAAGCAACAAGCCTTTGTATTGCGTCGGTTTGCAACTTAGATCTCTCGTGCTCTTTGAATTACCATAAAATTGTCTTCATCAATCAGTTTTTTCCCCCACTACTTTCATACAGGCAAAACACAAAACTAGAGCTGGGCGATATGGCCGAAAAATAAAGTTTTGTTTTTACACCACACCCGATTTACGCAATGTTCAAAATCAATTATTCATTGTCATTTAGACATTTACTGATGGCGTTGTGTAGTTTGTGTCCAAAACACTGGAGGCTGGTCCACTCATTCAGTCTCAGAGCTTTGATCAGCCAGTGGCGCTGGCTGTAGTCGTGCAGACGTTCCACGAGCCATGTGCATTCCGCTAATGCTACCTGCTTTTTAGCAGGTGTTTTAGGGCTGCCGCTGTCTTGTGCAACTGGCAGTGCCTTACACTTCTCCCATTCAACTGTGTCCCTCTGTTTGAGATGCTGGAATAAGTTAACCGTGCTGTTGCTTTTAGTTGCCACAGACTTTTGGCAAACTTTACAACGGACAGTGGTTTGCTCGAGAACCTACGCATAAAAAACGAACGATCTCCTCACTTTTAATAGCACATGCTGCTATGTTGATATTTCACTTGTCTGAGAACTCTCGCGTTACTATAAACTACGCAAGTTCAGGGAAGCGGTGGTGGTTCCCTACCATAATTAACCCAAGTTAAAGTGAAATTCGATTTTCATTTTTAAACATCATCCTAAACCATAAATTCGAATTCATCGATATAATCGATTTATCGCCCCGCTCTACACACAACCTGACCTCTCTCCGCCACGTAATGAAGCCATTTCTATTTAGCAAACCAAGTTGTAATATGCGGCTGGAAGTTTCTTTACCAGAACATCTAGCCGGGAAATTGAAGTTCAATGGCTGGGAAGGCTCTTCAACTGCTGCCAAGTCAGTCCTAGCCCGACACCTGGTAGCAGCAGGCCCTTCATTGCTGGCGGTGTTAGGGTCGATACTCCGGTCGGTGCTGTGGCAGGCGGTCTCCGTCTCGTCACAAAAGTAAAACCAAGCGAAAGCGATGGAGTGCTGGTCGAGCTGCTGTCCTGGGCAGGCTGGACTTTAGTTGGACTCTTTTTAGCTGGTGGTTTGCCAAAAAAAAAAAAGTAAAATGCGTTTATGCGCCATTATGATATAACCCTTCAATTAGCTGTCAATGCTACAGCTGCAGGACGCAAATTTAGGAATTCTACCATAGAGTTGACATGACCCGCCCCACTCTGCCTCTGATTGGCTAGTAATCATTGCCTTTGTTGGTTGGATTGGTTGAGGAGTGAGAAGGCAGGCAGGCAAAGAATCAAAGTATTTTGGATAACAAATGAGTTCTGGGGACAAGGAAGTACCAGGGCAAGTACCGTGAATCACTGAGGCTGTGGTGACCTAACTTGGAATCACACCCCTACCTGTGCCATGTTTTTTTTTCATGTCAGCTGAAATAGGCTGAATGAGGACAAGTACATGTACTCACCACTGGATGGTGCTGCAGGCTTAAACTTTCTTTAAGCTTTCTGTGGCAAGAAAGCAAGTTTGTTAACACACAAATGAAGAATGCTGTTCACAGCTTCCTTATTTTATCACAATTTAAAGGACTTCTGTTAGAGAACCTGTTGTTGTTTATCATTTAAATCACAATTAGCGAGCTACCTGCATATGGCTGTAGAGATACCAGCAGGGAAACCCATTAGCAGTTGCAGTACTTCTTTTTTCTATTTCCAAACCTACTAAATTAACTCCTGGAATGTTGAAATCAAAGCTATAGCTCTGTAACTGTGGGGAGACTTTTAAACACCGGACTTTTTACCTATATATACTATTTTTATTACCCATTATTTTACCTCTTACATATGATTTTTATTGAACCTTTTCATCTAAAATCTGTTTTTTAATCTTTGCCATGCAAAGGCAATCATTATGGCAGTGATATTGTATTGCAATTCAGTTCAGTGTTTTACCCCCTTGAACCCAAATTCGCTAAACCTGCATTATCTACTGCACTTTTACCTGTGTGCATGATTTCTTAAATTCCTACATTCCCCCAGGATTTATGCCATTTATGATGTCAAGTTGTTATGTTGGTGAGATGATTCATATAAAAAAGATCTATTCAGTTAATACAAAGAACGCGTATACAACTTCATTAAGAACATTGTTTATTCAACAGTGGATCTTCAGTAATAAATAAATGCACAGATCATTCATTCCACAATAAAATTGAGGGAAAGTTGTTTTTTTTTTTTTTTATATATAAATGTCCAAGTGGAGGATTGATATTGCCATGATGGGTAAACAGCATTGACCAGACAGAGAGACAATCTAGACAGATGGACTAACACAGAGAGGCAGACAGGCTGACCGACAGACAGACATGTACAGACCACACAGATGTGTACAAAGTATTGCGTTTTTCACTCTCTTCTCTCTCTCTCTCTCTCTCTCTCTCTCTCTACATGGACAAAATGTCTTTATGTAAAGTCTAATCAGTCTAACATCACCATGATGTGCAAATCAATCATAAATTATAAATACAGTATTGCATCACTTCAAAGTGCTACAGAGATAGGTGCCGACAATCTTCAAAAACAGAAAAAGGTTTGTTTTCTTTGAAACCACGTGTGTGTGTGTGTGTGTGTGTGTGTGTGTGTGTGCGTGTGTGTGTGTGTATTTGCCTGCTGCGTGTTTTGTGCATGTACATCAGGACTTGGGTATAAAAGCAACTATGGGACTTTGTGCCTTTGGATGTCTAGCACAGAGTGTAGAGCTTAGCCTGGTCAAAATCAGAAGCAATAAAATCATTGTCGTTAATTGTGATATTATGGAGACTTGATGTGATGTTAGAATGTGACGTCCTGAAAAGTCACTGCAACTCTTGATTTTTGTGAATGGATTGTAAGTAGAGTATTGCATGACGTCAAAGTGCTACAGAGAGAACTGTGTACAATCTTCAAAAACAGAGAAAGGTTACAGTTGTTGTGTTGTACAGATACACACTGAATGAGATAAATGTTTGGGACAACTTCTTGTTATTGGATTATAGCCTCAAAGGTCAAAGCTTAAAATCTTTCTCTAACTGGTGTCATGAGGAAGAACAATGAGGGTCGCTAATGTTTGGTAAGAAGAGACCCACAACTTGATGGATGGTCTTTAAAAATCTATGGTGTATCTGTGAAAACATCAAAAGATATAATATCTAAGAGAGAAAGTATTGCAATCCAATTTGCTCAAAAATGTCAGGATATCCATTTTAAATGATTAGGAACCCGAAATGGTTGTAGGATTATTTCTGTAATGTGTTTAAAATAACCTGAGTTCTTCACAAATGTCTATTTTTTTTAATCTAATTCTCATTATTTCACTCATTATTTTAACATGTACAGTGTATACTGCGTGTGTGTGTGTGTGTGTGTGTGTGTGTGTGTGTGTGTGTGTGTGTGTAAACATGAAGAGAGAAGCTGCACTTCTGTACTGCTATGCTGAAATGCTGAGATTCTTTGACTAACATTCAGCAGCCTGCTTTCTAGCAGCTAAAAAAAAAAAAAAAGCAGTCCCTGGCAAATCCAAGGATGCCTAAATCCACAGAATACCTTTATGTACAAGGCACAAACATCTTAAGGGACCATTCACTGGTGGTGCACATTTTAACCCATTACCTAAAAAAATTAACCATTTTCCAAAGCATCCAATCCAATAGCCAGTGTTTTCAGTTCATTTGAGTACGCTAAGAAAATAAACTTGCTGAAAAGAACTGAAACCAGTGTCTTTAAAGTTGCGTATGTTTTGGAAGATGGTCAACAGTAAAGAATACATGACTTATAATGACTTAAAAGATACAAAGCTTTCAGCATGGTCCTTTAAGTAGCTCTCATCCAGGGCCAATATGCTCTAAAATTTGCATCTGATCTAAAAGACAATGAAAATGTCCCAGACACAACACATTTTCTTACGACTTTTTCCTTCAGCTGTTTCATCCAATACAACGTTTTTATGATGTAGCAAAGGGAGTTTCCTATCAGGGGTGTATCAGGGGGCTGCAGTGGGGTTTCCCAGTCCATTTACAAGGGCCCTGGCCTTTATTTGGCATCTTATTTTATTTATTTAGCCTCTTCAGTGAAGAGATGAGGAGCAGAGGAGAGTGGGCGGACAGGGTGAAGATGAGAGGTAGAGATGAGAAGACGAGGAGGAGGAGGAAAGGAGGGAGGAATATAAAAGGATGAAAAGGAGATGAGAGGGGAGGAAGGTGTTGGGGGGGGCAGAGAGAGGAAGAGGACGTATGAAAGACAGGAAGCTCCGGTCGGATTGCCGGCAGAGCACCTGTCACTGAAGAGGCTCCTGCTTTCTATCACCGTCTCCTCCCCTCTTTTTTCCATCCATCTCTTTTGTCTGGCAACAGGAGGGACACCCAAAGGGGAAAGAGCGAGTGCTTAAAATTCCTCCTTCCTTCCTGTGTCCATCTCCTCTCCTAAAGACCTGTCGTCTCCATAGCAACAAACCCTGTCTTCATACTGAGCTTATTCAGTTGGTAGTCATGAATGTGTGTGTGTGTGTGTGTGTGTGTGTGTGTGTGTGTGTGTGTGTGTGTGTGTGTGTGTGTGTGTGAGGCAGAGAGAAAGAGAAAAAGAGTGTTTGCTGCTGCTCATGCCTCTCTGTGTCCATGTTTGTGTGTCAGTGTACCTCTGTGCGTGTTTTTTTTTTTTTTTTTTTTTTTTGTCAAGGAAGAGGGTGTATCTTCAGTAAACATCAGTCCAACACTCCCTCCAAACGTGTTTACTGAAACAAGTTCTGAAAGCCAGTTAATTTTTGGTCAGTTTGAATAAATCTCATGTTAAAATGGACGGAGCGTTGGCTGGTTTCTGAACTTTAAAAAGTTTTTTTTTTTTCTTTTTTCAGTCTTTGAGTTTTTAATCAGGCACCATGACGCTTCTCAACTCTCCACCCTGGAAGCATATACATACTGCGGCGGTCAGTAAGACTGACAGCTCTTCCAGCCAATACCAGCCCAGTCTGTGCTCAAATAGTTTGTCAGGGGAAGGCTGTGAGTGATTGGCTGTCCATCAGCAGCCGGGTGAGGTTGTGATTGGGCTGTGGTGCAGGTAGGCGGAGTTGACCACAGAGACAGGGAAGTTGAAAATGAACGGAGAGGTGGGTGTGGCCGTCGTCGAGGCGGTCGCTACTGAAGACTTGGGTCCCAGTAGCGGGCTTGCCGTGGCAGCTGCCTCAGCGGCACAAGAGGTGGCGAGGAGCTGTGATTCGAACTGCAGCAACTGGCCCATGAAGCTGAAGTTGGGAGAGATGATGCTGCGGCGCCGGCGCACAAACTCAAAGGCTTCATCCAGACGTACACGCTTTCTCTTCATCAGGTAGGCCAGGCAGATGGTGGCGGAGCGGGAGATGCCTGCTTGACAGTGGACCAGCACTCGCCCACTGGAGTCCCGTACTGAATCTGAGAAGAGAGGGGGCGGGTCAGAGGTCAGAGGTTTCCATGGACAATGTAAATGTAATGACAATGTAAAAATCTCTGTTCTTTATTTCCTCTCTGACTTAAATGAAATATCTCAAAATCTGTTAAATGGTACCACATTTTTAAGACATTCATGGTCCCCAGAGTATGAACCCTAATGTTGTTCCTCGGAGTTTTCCTCTAGCATCACCTTGAGGTTGACATTTGTGGTTTCGAGTCAAATATCTCATCTCAAACTGTTGGATGGTTCAGACTCTCATGTCCCCCTCAGGATGAATTGTAATAAAACTCCGCCTAGATGTAAAGCCTTACAGAGGGGCTAGCATGTAGGCTCAGTCTTGTTTTTCTATTGTTGTTGTAATGGTGCTTTCATGGTGGTTTGCCACAAGCTCACATTTCCATCATGGACAATGAAAGTGAACTGATCTGAATGTTTATTTTATCTCTGAGCAATATGGCTCCAAGCAAGTTTGTAGCAGTTCATTCAGTTAATTTTTTCCATTTGAAGAAGACGCCATTTGAACTCTGATGGCAGCAGACTGTTTTTCACAAAAAGATTAAAAGAAAAAAAAAGTTTATCACTATGATTCTTAATAACTATGGTAAAAGAAAAAACTATCATCCTAAATGTACATTTTTAACAGCCACCAAGTACTTTAAACACAACCGAAATACAGCGACGCTTTGCCTCACTTCCTTTCCTCCACACTTTCATGCCTTCCTTCCCCTTTCTGTGTAGTCAAATTGAGAACTAGCTTCAACGTGAGAAAGCAGCAAATCACATTTAACTGAACCATGCAAGAGCAAAAAAAAAAATTTGAGTCATCATCCCTTCTTTCACACTTCCTTCCCTGTCCTATTTATGTCTCTGCCTCTTTCAGTATGTTTAGACGCATGCTATTACTTCATTACTGTGAACAACCATTTGTAGGTAATAGTCTGATTAAAGTATTTACAGTAACTCAATTTTCTTAACATCTTCCGTTTGCATGATTAGTTGGGACAGTACTGGTAATGTCCTCGAGCCTGTGTGGCGGCCTGCAGGAAATTAGAAGCACACAATATAAAGAAGATAATGGAGGAACTTAATTTATTGTTTTTTCATGTTGAAGAATTTAATCTAATTTTCCACCACTGCTGGCTTTTCCGATGTTTGAATATAAAATTACTGCTTTGATTCCAGATCACTTTATTACCTCGCTGGCACATGAGCAAAATTAAGATCGAAGACTGTTTGCTGCCATTTCTCTAAGTGCACAGATGCTTGATTGCTAGCAGTCACCTCCCCTATCTTCACTCTTTGTGTCTCTCTCTGCTTCTCAGATGTCTGCATTTTTTTTTTCTTTCTTAATTTCTCTCTTTCTCACACTCACACACAAACACACACACACACACGCACAGATTTCAGGTAACTCCACCACAGCGTCTGTTCACCCGGTAACAGTGGATGAGTCAGACCCTGGTCCCACAGCAGCTAACTATGACGCATACCAGTACCTACTCACACACATCAGAGTGCACACTCACAAACACACACTCACAGCACAGAACCACACACACACACACACACACACACACAAACACACACACACACACACACACACACACACACAATGTCTACACACAGCATGGATATGCAAAGCAAAAGCAAAGCTCACACTTGCCTATATTATATACACAAACACATATCTGAACTCATGCTGCAGAGAAATGATAGAGTGTAATATTTTATCATTTTAAATGCATTAATCCCCCCCCCCCCCCCGTTCGTCCGGTTCTTCCACACACACACACACACACACACACACACACACACACACACACACACACACACACACACACACACATAATCTCCACTCACACACAGTGTATTACGTCATTTAGCTCTGTAACAGATTCATCTGATTAGATTTTGATAGTTATGTTCTTTTTTAGGTCTGCTGAGATGTGAGTGATAAAGGGCTACTTGGAAATAATGATTTGCGACACATTTCATTGAATAAATGTCTGATTTGTCATCATTGGCCTGAAAGCTTGTCCACTGCAGCTCTCTGAATTATTCTCAGACTCCAGACGAGAAGTGAAGCGCTTTTACATTTCCGGTCGGGTTAAGATTAACAGAAGAAGAGGACTGTTTAGTTAACATGAGCAGTAATGAGCCACTATGACTAAAACCCAAACTGCATCAACAGAAAATCCAAAGGAAGACAGGACTTCACAGTCCCACCCACACTGTTTAACTGACAAGTGATTAGTCAAAGTAAACATGTCTAGGCCTGCTATTAGTGGATTAGTCAATCGAAAGAAAATTAATCTGCAACCATTGTGTCAATTTTCAAGCAAAACTAACAAACATTTAATGGTTTCAGCCTCTAAAATGATTTTTTTTTTAACGATTTTGCTGCTTTTCCTGTACTTGCATTATATCAACTTAAATATCTTACACGTGATATCATTACCTTCTGCTCTAGAAAATTGTGATGTGCATTTTTCAAAATTTTCTGCTGTTGTATATACAATTAATCAATTAATTGAGAAAATAATCTGCAGATTAATTGTTAATGAAAATAAATGTAAATTGTAGCCCTTCATAGGTTTTTCCAATAATATTAAAAAGATATTTCACGTCTACAAGCAGACACTGCAACAGCTTGTTCCAAAATAGAAATGAAAAAAAATCAACAAACCTAAAAGTGATGTGACCTAAAAACAAAACCCAAAAAGCACAAAATACGCCATCGCCTGAAGTAAACTTCTATGTGTGGTTTCCCACCATGGGATAACCACAAATAAACACACACACATCACACATGCTTACTCACTGACCTATGAACTCAATAGCCTCCAGGAACCAGCAGCTGATGTCCTCTTTATGGTTGTCCTCCACAGGGATACACTTGTACTGGTACGCCCCCTCGAAGTGGTTAGGACAGTCGGCCGACACGTTCAGCAAGGCGGAGATTCCTATGCCGTCCAAAACCTCCTTCTTTGAGGCGTGGAGGGCGCTGCCAAGGTAGAGGAACGGGAGGATCTCGACTGGGCCGCCCTGGATCAAAGGACAGACGGGAGGGCGAGGGTTAATCAATTATTTCTTTGGCTGAGGGAGTATGTTCATAATTAATTCAGTCAGTCCTTAAGTAAGTCTTCATTCATTGGGTGATTCCATAAAGAAACATCTCCTGACCCAATCAGCTCGGAGAGCCATGTTAATGAGAATTTACTCAAATGAAAAACAGCTTCGAGGATAAGACAAAGAATTCACTGTGTCAGTGAGCAGCGGAGGCCAGATGACTTCAGTATAAGCATGACCTTAAATATTTTGTTAATCACATTAGCCACACTTATCATCAGACAGGGGCAGCTTATTATCTGTGTAATTAATGCAGAGTCATTTGATATGGGCCATTTAGTTTGTTAGTTTCTGTCTCAAGCCAAGTTATTTCCACATATGGAAACACAACTCACTGTATGAGCCGGCATCTGACAAACTGAACAGTATGAACATCTTTCAAACATACACTTCATATGGAAATATCAGCATGTCTTTTGACGTATCAGTACACGTATGTACGACAGCCTTTTCTTGGCGATTTGCATTCACCGTTCTCTCATTTTTCTATTGGGAAACACTGTCATTTTTCTGTGATGAATCTTTATCAGTCGAAAAAAAAAATTGTTCTTCTGACGAAAACATGCTCCATTGCAAGATTTCCTCAGAAAGTCAGTTCTACTGGCATGGCACTGACTGACCGAGTACATGAAGGATTGTTACACACACATCCTGGAAGTGTCTCAAGGAACATAAAAAAGGTCAATATGTGTTTGTCATTTCTAGTTTTGTTGAGTGTTGGTTAAAAATATGAATTGTTGATTGTAACATGTAAATTTCTAACCCCATGCCTAACCACCATCGACACTGCCATCATCTTCATGGTTTAAAAAAAACAAAAAAACAACACATTTTCATGATTAATACAAATATTTTGGCTTCGGATGGTTCCACTAGTATCTGTGTAAGTTGGGTCTTGACTTTCACTGCATACATTACACATTTATTTAATATTCTAGTCTTCACTACATAAAGAGCAACTAAATCCCAGTGTTTACTAATGCAATTTTGGGCCAGTTTATATTTATTTTGAACCATATCTGTGAGAGTCAATGTTTTGTTTTCCCTTTCACTATATCTGAGAGGTCAGGCTGTTGGCGGTCTATACCGGTAGTGAGACTTATTGACGAGGGCTGTGTCTGTTTATGTCACTGCCGCTGACGACCTCAGTACTGACACAGCGTCAGGAAATGATCGATACTGCTAAGAGATGTAATGTGAGGAGGGGGGTGGAGGGTGATGGGGAAAAATACAAGCGAGATACTCAACTAGCTTTTACCCAGTCCATCATATCAATACTGCAACAGGAAGCTACAGTACTCTTTGCATTAAAGCTCTCACCCGACAGTGAGGCCGAGACTGTCAAGCATTTTCCTTAAAAAACATACAGAGGCTGAATTGTCTGCGTCCGTCTCTTCATGCGTTCCGGGGGAATTAAACCCAAACTACATGTGACTTTGAGCACTGCACAAAAACTGCAGGCTCGAGCAGCAGATCGACCAACAAAACGAGGCCACCGGGGTCACAGGAAGTGACGGAGAGTTGAATCAGAGGTGAAGACAAAAAACGAAATTAAACAAGAAGTGGATTTCAGCAAATGTTCCCATCAGTTTATGTTGATTTCTCTAGCATGGCCTACAGACAGAAGAAACAAGTCTGTAACTACACATTCGCTGGTTTAAATTCCCACACTGGGTGGGATAATGTGGTTGAATATGAACAACAGTTGAGTTCAGTTGAAGAAGGCAAATATCCTCCAGTGTTTGCACTCAGGAGCTCTAAATGTGAGTGTGTGAAAGTGAAGGCAACTTTTACAGGATAATAAGTCAAAACAGCCTTTTAATTGATTCATTAGCTAATGGGACATTAATAAATATTTAAATACTAAAAATGGGTTATCAATTTTAATCATTTATTCATCAAAAATAAATTTTTTTTCTGTTACATATTACATATTTTTTACATCTTATACACTGAATGCTGTTAGTCCAAGTGAGCAAAGTCAAGACATTGGCTTTTGGTCTGGTGACATGTGATAGGCATTTGTGATTATTTTATGAATGAAAACACTCATTATTTTCAGTTTTAATAATTGGCTGCACATGCTCAGAAGCTGCTTTACACGTGACCTACACTAGTTTGACACCGGAGGATGTTAATTATGCTTTTAAAAGCACTCTTTTCAACCTGAAATAATATAATCTAATGATAATAAACTTTTATTTGTATAGCACTTTTCTTAACGTTGCAAAGTATTTTACAAAAGAAATAAAACCAGACAAGGCAAATAAAATGAAAATGAGAACCTGTCACAGAAGAAGTAAAAACAATAAAATAAAGAAAAGGTGGATAAAGTTTGAGTTCAGATGGGTCTGCTCTCACTCATCTTGTGTTGTGCTTTACCTGATCGTGGTGTGGTGTCCCACAAGACGAGCAGGCAGAGTCGATGCTGGACTGGCTGGTGAGGGATGGTAAGGATTTGGTCTTTAAACAAAACTCTGGGTATTCTGAGAAAAACCTGTCATATCCACCTGTAAAAAAAAGAGACACCAATTTCAAATGGATTGGATCATATGCAGTGTTTTGCTGTAGGAAATGACTGTAGTATACCAAAAATAATGATGCAGTACATTTGAAGCAATGTCATGGTAAACCATATGAGATTAAATTCACTACTGGACACCACAGACAGAAATGTCATGTTTGGGCTCTACATGCATAATATACACTACGTAGGCATACTTAAGGAAAAAAGAAGCATGGTGGCCCACATTAACATTCCCACACAATCTGCACCAGGATTTTCTCCTCTGCATACAGTGAATCGGTAAAGTCTGTTAAACTGACCCCTGACCTACTCTGTTCTGTGTCTACTGTTGTGGATTTGGAAACAATTTCATCATCCCTTTCCTTTTTTTTTTTTATATTATAAATGTGCATGCTGACCACTGCTCTCTGCACCTCGGGGATCAAATCAGATTAACTGGGAAATGTCATCTTTATAAGCTACATACATACACTCCTGAGCTTCAAGGCGCCTGCGTCATTAGGATGCACAAAAAAGAATGCGCCACAGCTTGCAGCAGCTTTGGCTTTCAGATTTTTTCCTGCAGTCTAAATATAGTCTGTTGGGCAAATCGGGTGTTGATTTTAGACTTTTCTGCTTCCCATCAGTGATTTACACAAGGCAGACTCTTTTCTGAAATGATCATTAGTGTCTTGTAAGTCCCTCTGATTAGAAGTGGCTTCTACGCATCAGCATTACCTCATTCACTCAGCTCACAGCCATTGGTCTGACTGTGTGTGAATGTGTGTAGCTGTGAGTGACTGAGTGAGTGTGTGTATTGTAAGAAAAAATAAAAAGTAAAAATGTGCATAGAGCAGGCATTTGCTTTCAATCTCAGGTTTATAAGATAATGAGCAGTTACAAAACAATATTCAGTATCTTTATTGAGGCAATAAAATAAGATTATGTAGGTTGAAAAATAAAATGAGCAGTGACCCACATTTGGAGGTAGGTAGCATATCCTTAGAAACTAGGCTATTAATGTAATTTGAAGCTATTATTATTATTACCTTTAAAACCTCAATTAAATTATAATCTTCCACATAAGTGTTATTATTATTTTATCGTTGTGAATATTTTTTAAGGCTCATTCAAGAAGAAACATTTTTAGCATTTGGTCATAAGAGCATTAGAGACTAAATAAAGGGTTTATTGTAGCCTGGTGCTCCCCATTCTTGAGGCTGAAAAATAGTCAAATAAATTATTTGTCTTACCATCAGTAGCCTCACAGCGTAATAGGGAACACTAATGTACTTGTTATTTGTATTATTTACATTCCAATATTAATATTAGAATCCAAGAATAAACCACAGTTCATCAGTAAAATTACAATTCAATTCTTCAGTGGACCTACTGAGGCTGCATCTGATTTTAACCACCATACTGGTGCTACTGGTATTTTACCAGTATTACATGCTGTAGTTGAGCCAAATGTAATAATGAAGCACATTTACCTTTCAGCAGGTATATGTTTGTGCCGGAGGAGTCCCTGGTCAGCGCGTTGAGCACCAGGGTGACCGTGCTGTCCTCCTTCACCGTGTCCGAGTCCGGGGTCCTCTCGTCATACAGCACCACGGCGGAGTACATCCCGGAGCGGAAGCGGCCCCGGACCTCCTCGTCCCCGGCCAGTACCTGGTCCAGGCTCAGCACGGAGCCCTTAGCTCTGCGGCGCACGATGGTGTTGCAGCGGGCGTTGACAGCGCCGCGGATGTGCCCCGCGCTGAAGGCGAGGAAGGAGCGGCAGTCCAGCAGCAGGCACTTGGCGCTGTCGTCCTTTAGGAGCCGCTTCAGCACCGTGCAGTCCATCTCGCAGAGTTCCTCCATCGCAAGTCGTTTCAGGCTGCTGTGTCTAAGATTGACTGTCGCCGATCTCCTCTCTCTCTCTCTCTCTCTCTCTGTCTCTCTTTCTGTGTCCCCCCCACCGCCCTCCAAACCTGGAGAAAGCGCTTGGATCCTGCAGTGGATTCCCTTTGCGCCTCTCCTCTATGCGCACATGATCTCGTGCATTGTAACCGCACTACTCTTTACGCACAGTCCGGTCACCTCTTTCTTTCACTCTCTTTCTCTCTGAGTGTTTCTCCTCAGGATTGTTTCTCTTTTTTCCTTTTTTTTTTATGAATGGGTGCCTCACGTCACAGCGGAGGTGACGTCAACCGATAGTAGCCAATCACAAAGCGTCCAGATTCCCGTCCCATTTCCTCCTCTGTCGTTCATTCATAAAAAAAAAAAAAGAAAAAAAAAAGACAGAAATCAATGAAACGACGAGAGGAGGTAGATTGAGATTAGACTCCACGAGGCGCACAGCGGGGTTTAGCATGCCTTAACCAGCCCATGACCACACTTGAATTATCGTTAGGTTTAGTAGTTTCCTATGATATAAATAAAGGGGTTTATCGATTTAAAATTAACAATTTTCAGACATGTTCTTATGAAGACATGCTCAATTGACTTTTTTATTCGCATTTTATAGTAGGCCCCATGTGCCTTTATTTAAGTCTTTAAACATGCAAATGTTTTTAAAATAAAAGTGAATCAAACGATTCTTTCGTGTGAAAATATGGCTTGCATATGCTGAAACCATTAAAATCCAGACCTTGGGCCGTATGGTTCTTTGAACCTCTTTGAGCTTTATCGTTTTGTGTTCATTCCCACAAATGTGCTGTATATTCAGTCTGCTGAACTCTCACAAACTAACTGTATGCTAAGCTACCTGCCCAGCACCACAGGACAGACAGAAGGTTAGCAAAACTAGCTTGTGAAGAAAGACAAGCAGAGCAGCTCAAGTGGCCTACACCTGGGTCATTGGAGACAAAAACACAGCTGAAAGAACAGTGAATATCAGACTTATATTTGACATTTGGCCAGAAATATATCTGCAAATTAATGCTAATGTTGCTTAGTTTCCACTGGATGCAATATTTTAGCCATGGCAACTTATTAAAATGATGTTAGATATAAGCTTTAAGGTCCTATCACATTTTCAATTTGATACATTTTATTTGTCACTTAAATCAAATGCCAAAAATTAGATTATTTTAATTTTAAACTTTGATGTGAATATTTCAGACTTTCTTCAAATGTTAACACTTAAATAACATCTCCTGTAGATAATTTCAGTCTGACTGGTGTAATGTGCTGACTGCAGGTGGGTGTGCTTACGTATGTGCACGCACATACATAAATCTGTCTGTGTATACGTCTGAGTATGCATCTGTGTGTGTGGGTGTGTAATCCTACAAGCGGAAATGTAATTTGCATCTTCTATCACACAGCCTTAGTGAGCGTGCTCAGGTATTTGCATGTTGATCTCATTTCCATGGTTACGGGAGGAAAGAGAGCAGCACGGCAGCAGATGAGAAGAAGAAAATGCAGACGCCCTGACACAAACAGACGGGCTGCAACACAGGCAGACGCTCCAGCTGAAAGAGACATGCAGATAAAGAGACTATAGAAACAGATCATTTTAATATTGTATAATCCTCAGATACATTTATTATGAATGGGTTTATGTGGGAAAACTTGAGCAAATGGGTAGGCAACACATGTGCATATGGATCTGTGTTTGTTAGGCTTTTGTTCACAGGCCTTTATGCTCAACTCTGAAATGTTGTGTCTGATTTATTTTTAATGAATATTACAAGACTCATGTAATACAAGTATGATCTGACAGCAGCGTTGAAATGACACTTGTAAGCAGACAGCTTGTTTCCAACCAGCTTGAACTCATGGGAAGTTCTGTGGTATTTATGTCTTGTGTTCTGTCTGACGTGGTAAAAAAATGAGACGGTCTAGACTCAACAGAGAGCAAATGTCAAATCTCAAGAGGAAATGTGGCAGACGCTTCATGGTTATAACGCAACAACAAGTTTGTAGGTATTTTTGTGTAAAAACAGAAGTACCGGTAGTCACCATTTGTATGACATGAAAATTAAAAAATATACAGTATATAATATAAAATGTTTAGATTTTCATAGATTTTATCCAGCCACTCTTAGTCAATTGAGTTACTGGCCATAAGAACGTATTGTTCTAACACGTTTAGATGTGGTATCTATCTTCACTGTCAAAGGGAAACTCCAGCAATTCAGTGTTGAACTTCCATGAAGTTGGGGGACATGCAAGAGACAGATTTAAAAAAAAAAAAAAAAAAAAAGAAAAAGAAAAGAATGGTCATATTCTATGCAGCAAAGGCCTAGGCATCTTGACTTTTAGTCCCAAGCATGGGTCAAACATCAGATCCTGCATTTCCAAAAATGCAACTCAGAAGCATCTTTTATTAGATCATCCCTGCGTGTAAATGTCATGAATACCATTCTTCCAAAAGAAATTTCCCTATCCAGTGTTCTGATTGTGGTGGTGGAGAGCAGTCAGTGAACCCAGGTGGAGTATGAGTATCTGCATTTGTTGTTTGTCCACTCATTTTTCCAGTTTGTCACCTGTCTGTAGACTCACATGTACCCAGATCAGACTTAGTATGTCCATGTGGTTAAAATCATACAGGAAATGAGTGACAGTATAATGTATATACAGGTGTATATGAATGTGAGTATGTGAATGTGTGTGTAGTGTTTGTGATGTGTGACAGAGGCATTGCAGCAAAAACCATGAGTCTTGAAAGTCATGAATGAAGGACCTTGAAAATTAAGACAGAGAGGTGAGCTGGTGAGATGAAAGATGGAAGACTTGACAGAGATAGGCAGAGCAGGGGATGGGAGAGGAGGAAGGGATGAAAGATGATGAGGGGATGATGGAATAAGAAAAGACAGATGATTTCCTGTGCTGGATTGCAGACTGTAGAGCCCCATATCAACACACACACACACACACACCACTCCGCATTACTTCCAACCCCAAACAATGCCTCACACAGGCGGGATGGTGCTGCTGCCGTAGCAACAAGGGAGAGGTGTGGGAGGGCGGAGACAGCAGGCAGGGGGGCTGCGAGGGGATTGGCTGGGAAGATACTCTGTGCTGATGTCATCCCTCCCACCCTCCTCTCCCTCTCCCATGTCCATCCATTCATCCCCTCACATCCCTCGCCTGCATGTCGTCATCCGTCAATACAGTGGTTGAGTATGTGTGTGTGTGTGTGAGAGAGAGAGAGAGAGAGAGAGAGAGAAGATATTTTGTAGGCTACATGTCAGTGATGGTAAATATCTCTCTCCCTCCTCCTTTCTTTGCTCCATTTTCTTCCCGTATCCCTTGCTGTCTCTTTCGTTGACCTCTTTCACCCTCATTCTCCTCTTTCAGCTATAATGTTGTTCAGTTAATCATACTGAGCAGTAATAAAAAAAAAAGGAATATTCATGTCACTAAAGAGAATATGGACTATAAAGGGCATCATGATGCTACAGAGTCAGGTACTGTAATATAAACATACAATACCAAAGCATACTGTAAAATACATGAAAGTGAGCACCAGTAATAAAAAAAAAAATAGCTGTAGAGCAAAGTGGCAGTGGACGACAAGGGGAGTATACAGACAGAGTGACAGCAAGTGATGACAGCAAAGAGCAATTTACGGCTGTGGCTCAGTAGATAAAGACGGTTGTCCCTCACAGCATTGGCAGTTGTGCCCTTGCCTCCTTCTGTCCACATGCTGTGTGGACAGAAGGAGTGTCAAGTGTCCTTGAGCAAGACACTGAACACCAATTGCTCACATTGCTATAAAAGGCGCTATATGAATACACTTCATTTACTTTTTATGCTGACAGAGCTGACTACCAACAAACCATCTCTTTAAAGGGATAGTTTGACATTTTGGTAAATACGCTATTTTGCTCTCTTCCTGAAATTATGTCTACACAGATGGCGCAGGAGTTTATCTGTTCACGTCAGATGTGTGTGAGATGGCCGAGTGAAAAAAATAAAATGAAACGCTGTCTGTATAGATGCATCGTTTATACCACTTTCAAGTCTGTGACCCCAGAAAGCGAGGAGATGGTTAGCTTAGCACAACTAGCCTGTTTTGGTGCAAAGGTTAAAGCATCTGCGTTGGACCTACCAGGACCTTTAAAGCTCACTAAATACCATGTTATATCTCATTTGTCAACTTGTCTAAGCCAGGTTAACTGTCTTTTGGCTCTAGCTTCATATTCAGACATGAGAACGGAATAGATGCTCTTTTCTTCGGCAAGAAAGCAAATGAGTGCTGTCTCCAAAATGTTGAACTACTTCTTTAAATGAACGGTATGCAATTTAATTGTAGTATGTATACAATATCAGTCCACAAGGTAGGATAGTGAAAACACCAACATACCATAAAAAGCAATATATACACAGATGTGTGTGTGTGTATGTGCGTGTGTGTGTGTGTGTGTCGGTATGTGTGTGTGTGTGCGAGAAGCATGTGTACACTCTAAATCTGTCCCACTCTCTAATCTCATAATCCAGTGGTTAAGCCTTGACTGAGTGCTGCTACGTTTTCATGAATGAGTTTGTGTCGTTTGTCATGTGTTTATGTGAGTGTGTCGACGAGAGAAGGAGAGAGAGAGAGAGAGAGAAAGTTATGTGAGTGAAAGTAAAAAAGGAGAATGAATGTATGACAGGAAAAAACAGGGGACAGAGATGCTTTAAGGACACAGAAGAGAGAAAAATAAACTGTAAACTCTATTTGGTGCAGATCCACATTTTCTCATGTTGCATACATTGATGCTCCTACTATGCAAAGACGAGTTCCTGTGGCTGACAAGGAGGTTCATTTTTCAACCAGGATGATCATATCATAAAAATGATTATTTTCTGCTCTTCAGGTAAAATCTAAAAAAGAAACCACACTTCTAAGTGCTATTTGGGTGTTTTTTTGACCACGATATTGTCGTATTAGATGTTTTTAGTCTTTAGAAAAAGATGACTAATAATGGAAAAAGCTGTAACAGGAGTCTTTAAAAGGAAACACACATTAAAGTTGCCCTAGTTCATCCAAATCACAAAAAAACATGCCACTGTCTC